CAGTTAAAACTTAAAGCTCAAGGCTATATTCAGTCGGACAACTAACTCAATTTCTTTTTCTTTGTTCGTGTGCAAGAGCTGATTAAGTTATTTTTTCTCTCTACAGGAAGGGGAAGGTTATATGATTAACAAAAACGCCTCAGGGTTAGTTTTTCAGCTGGATTCTTTTAAAAAAAAAATCACTTCATTAAATCATTTTGGCTGTAGATTTTAAACTACATATTAGTCAGTGGCTGTTTTATATCTTACTAAACACTGAGGTTAACTCTTTATACATCTGGGTCTGAAAGAGGGATTGATAGTCTTGTCCTTGTTGGTGAAACAATGTTAAATGTTTCATGGCCATTGTGAAACACTTCCTTTCCACTCAAAGTAATAATGATTGGGTATGATTTTATTAAACACAAGAGGTCATTTTTATCCAGAATTATGTTAAGTTTTCTCTAATGTTTGAATTATGTGTGCAGTGATCAGAAGGTATGACCTCTTGGGACTGTAGATAAAAAGACAACTCTGCACACTGAGTAGCTGGTATCCTGCTTCTGTCGACAAGTTTTGAGGCTAAAAGTGTTTCTGTACAAATTTCAACACAGCAGAAAGTCTCACTGACAGGTAGGGTTGGTAAATATTTAATGGACTCTTACTTTAGTCATCACAGTGTCCATCTAAACTCTGTTATAACCTGCTTACCTAAATAATGCAAACACCAAAGCTCTGCTCACATTTGGCCTTAAAGAGATATTCTGGCGTATATTTAAGTTAGGGTCAAACACACAGTAACACCGAGTTAGACACCCCCTTGAGAGATGAATGTTGCCTGCTACTATACAAACTTTAGTAACAACCGCACGATAGCAATACACAGTGGTCTACATCTCCACGCACAAACCTCAACCAAAAAGCCACAAATAATGCTCAGAACAGAACCTAACTTATATGTCAACAGGACATATAGGGTCCCAGCCATAGTACTAGTCACCAAACATCTTTTTAGCTTTGCCTGATTTCTTTAGCAAAGAAACTAAACACAACTCACTAACTCTCCTCCAGCTGCTTGTTTGTGGGGAGCCCTAACGAGTCGATTACAGAGTGCAGCGGAGTTCCACAGCTCGAGGAAGAAGAATTGTGATTATTACTTCATGGAACTTTAGTCATTTCCATGAAGTAGTAATCATCACAATAATCATCTTGCACCGCAGACACGGTAGTTCTTCTGCCTTAGCGTCTCGGTCTGATTACATTTCCATGACTTGTTTGACCATGACTTAAATTTACGCCGGAATATCCCTTTTACATCCATCCTTGGTGACTGGATCATAAGCAGTATGTGCTCTAACAGAGATTGGCATAAAGTCACTTTTTGCAAGTCTAAGTTAAGTCAGGTCTAAAGTCTGTAAGAGTCAAGTCTCTCATCGTGTCAGAAAATTACAACAAAATACAACTGTATAGTTGTAGAAAGGAGGGGTCCACTGATTAAAAAGTTTTACTGTATTTATTTCACTTAATTTTGAGTGACCTCCATATAAATATATTACATAATAAGCAGCGTATGAGCTAGATTTTCCCAGCTTGAATCTTTATGAACTCTAAAAAAAGAAATTGTTCAAATCTGAAAATGTGCTTCACTTCCCTCCTTGAATCTTTATAACACCTGCATCTCTACATCTAAGCAGCACAGTGACCTGCCTCTTTCCTACAGTTTTGTTACGCCTTTCTGTGTCTGATCTTTTGGAGAAACTCATCAGCAGGACCATGAATGAGACAGGTGTAGACAATCATACCATTCAAAGGATCCCAGCAACCACCTGCTCAAAACAGCAGTATGAGAAGGCGTGTATCTGATATGAGACGTTGATCTGAGTCATTAGCCAACATTAAAATGAGGGACCCTAATGTGTCTATCTCAGATCACCTGCAGAGCAAACGCTTTTTGTGATGTATGCGGGGGTGAGAAACAAGCGGTAACTGTTTCCTTATAGGTTGTGGGAGGCAGACTCATACCGATGAAAAATTACTCGAAATTGTCACTGGTTGTGCTTGAGCAGCCCTCCCATATGTAGAGGCGCTGTGCTGTTGCAGCAGCAGGTGATGTTGTGTAGCAGCTCAGACACCAGAAGTAGAAGATTAGGATTAAGACAGAATAACACTGAGTTGATGGTGTTATTGAGACAAAAAAAAAAAAAGGATTGTATATGACTTCCAAAGATGATTCTTAAATCCTTGATGGTTGAGATCGAGGCAAGTCTAAAGCCCTGTTAAAAATAAATACATTTAAACATTTAAACACAATTCAATATTCATGTATATAGTGCCAGTGTTGTTATGCAATTCTCATAGTTTTATTCATTATGTTTTCATTATAAAGCTCATTTGGCAATCTAAAAGTACCAAGGCCAGGTGCTCTAGCTCTCAGTAATATCTCCACGCACATGTGCCTGAGCACACGTGCACAGCCTTAAGTACAGGTATATGAATGCACTTTAGTGTATATTGTAGATACTGATTTTAAGTCACTCAGACCTCAGATAGAGGTTGTGTAAAAAGCATTACTGACGGGGGTCCGGGAGTGTGTTTGTCCATGTGTCCTAGGCTTCATTGAGGACAGTCTGTTCACTCTGTATCCGCTGCAACAATCACACAATAACAGGAGACCAGCTTTCTCACATGGAATATTTTACTTCAAATGTTGCTGCTGTGCGCTGAATAAAATCATATTTTTTACACAGCTTTCATGTCATTCACATGTCACATAAAAGGATGGGATTTACACATTAGAGTGGAGTGTGCACAGAAATACTGACAGCCAGTGTCCATGTTTACCCAGCTTTAGGAAATGCATTCAATTTTTAAAGATGTGATCCTGATCTGCCAAGGAAAGAGTAGAGACAGTGATTTGAACACAGAAAAGTAATTGAAGTTGGCAGTGAAACAGATCAGAGGAGATACTCGTGGTTTGGCTGATTCGGTCTTCTATAAGGTACACAATCAGTAACTTTTGATGTGCAGTTAAAGGGATATTCCGGCGTAAGTTTAAGTCATGGTCAAACACACCGTAACACCGAGTTAGATACCCTCTCTAGAGGTGAATGTTGCCGACTACTTGCTTCTTTAGTTATACCAACTTCAGCAACAACCGTACATTAGCAATACACAGCGGTCTACATCTCCACCTACAAACCTCAACCAAAAAGCCACTCGATAGCCACAAGTAATGCTCAGAACAGCACTTAACTTTATTAACAGGACATATAGGGTCCCAGCCATAGCACTAGCCATCAAACATCTTTTTAGCTTTGCCTGACACACAACTCACTCTCTCTCTTCCAGCAGCCGCTTGTTTGTGGGGGAGCCCTGATGAGTCGATCACCGAGTGCAGCGGAGTTTTGCCATTGAGAAGTTTTGCCATTGACAAAATACGCAGCAGAGACCAAAATCTTACTAGCCATCTCAGTTTTTGGTCAACATAAACATTCATGTGCTGGTGCCATAAAGACCATTTAAAATGATCTCTGTATTTTGCATTGTGGTAAAAACCCATTTACATTTCAGTTTCTTACCACAGAATCTGGATTATAAAGCCTAAATGTATCTTTCCAGGAGTTTTTTTAAAGTCCAAGGTAAATGTACAAAGTTCTGGTGGTGTTCGGGTTTTTCTTTTTGAGTTGGCTGCCAGTGAACAGAAAGTCAAGTGACCTGATCCTTTGGTGTGTTAGCTGCGATAATAAGCAAAAGAAGGCCACACATGTAACCGTGCTGTATGTTTATTGAGTCTCGTGGACTACAGCTGTTCATCAAAAGTCGTGTTTCTTCTCTTTGAATAAAACAAACTTTAGATTTTTCCTACACGATGATTGAATGTAAAGAGGAGCAATAATGCATTGAAGATTTGGTTTGTGACATTTGATAGTTTTTCAGTGACCTAAAATTAAGCATATAACATTCTTATGGTGGCCCACGATCCATAGGGACCTTTTGTCTGACCTGATTGTCATGGTTTTCCACACAGCTTTACCAGGTTAAAAGAAGCTGACAGGATTTAACTTCCAAAGTAGTGCAGTCACAATTTCTGTAGATTTAGCCTCATTTTACAGAGCTAGTTCTAAAGTGGGAAGTGTCATTGTGCAACTTGAGCCAATAAAAGTACATTTTTTGGAGATGTCACAATATTGGTTTGAAGCTTTCTCTCAGAGGTTGCTTTGCATACTCAAAATATTACTACCAACATTTCTGAATGTGATGATTTTTTCAAAATAAACTCCTCCCTTTTCAATTTACAAGCTTTAAACTGTTATATACTGTGTGAAGAAACGTAGTATAAGATAATCAATAGCAGATTTTCACCTGATTACCCTGGCCAAAAATATCACAACAATGATATCATCTAGATATTTATGAAATACTTAAAAATAAAAGCAATTTGATGGGAAGTAAACAAGGGTGGAGGGTCATGTAACTTCATAATTTTAACTAATAATGTAAAAGACTTACCTGTGAACGAGCACTTACCTATATGTCAATATCCATTTTAAATGATGTTCTGGAAGAGCCATTACCTCCTAAAATGATTGTGACGCTTTTATTTTGATATTTTCTCTCCGTCTTGGCTTGATGAGTCGAACTTTATTTGAGAAGGAAGTGCGAGTTCTGTTGGATTGTGAGTAAAGGTACTGGATGGCAACCGTCTTCTTTGTCTTTTCTTGGTTTTAAAGGAAACTTTTTTTAGGAAGGTTTTGATATTTTATTTTTAAGACAGTAAATTAATGCTGGCCTTGCTTTGGATTACAGTTGGTGTAGTCTAAACTCGATCACATGTAGGATTAACAGTGTCAGAATGTGACGTTTCCATCTCTCTTTCAAATATGTAATGGCTGGCAGAAAGACATTAGTTATTTACAGGCAAAGTTTGGTCTAAACAGAACAATGATAGACTGGGAAACAGACGTGGTAAAGTAAAACACATGGACGGATGCTTACATCAAGTTTTAGGCTGAAGTTGCAGCATTCACGATTCAGAATTACAGGTTTAGGCAGCTGGAGACGAAGACCACAACCCAAAAAAAAGGGTAATATTGTGTAGGCTAGATAGTAGGTTATATAAGCCCCTGGTTCTGTGTGACTGCCAAGAATGCATAGAAGAAGCTTTTTTGTTACCATTCAGCTATTTGGTTTCTTAATTAGTAGTTTTTTAATTAGTATTTAAAATTAGCATTTAATTTAAGGTTCTTTTAGTTCACACAGGTGAGACCCCCGTCATGTTGCATTTTTGAGCAAACAAATTCTGTTGCAATTCGAAGCCGTGTCGACCGTGTCGAGTTTAAGCTGAGAAAATACGAAATGAAGCCCCTTTTTACAGCTTCATCTTTATTCAGCCATCTGTGGGTTATCTCACACGCCGCCTTCACGGTCTCCTCTCACATCCATTTGCTCTTGGAAATTGAAGCCAATTTGTCATTATCAGCTGGCGTGAATTATGCCGTCTTTATGGTGCCATTCTGATGATCCTTTGAGAAAATTCTTCAGATGGGATCATTTTAAGTACCAGGGTTTGAAATACTTACAGTATGGGAACTGGGCAGAAATGAGGAAGATTGAAGGGTGAGGCTGTCTCTTTATTTGGCCCTTTATAGTCTCAGGCTCATTTCTCTGCTAGATTTCCCGACTGTCCTTAATTAAGATTTTTTTCTGTGTGTGTGTGTGTGTGTGTGTTTTCCTGGATGAATCGTCATCTCTTGTGCTTGTCATTTCTATTTTTCTGGCACTCTTCTCTATTCATTGTTCATCCTCTCTGTCTGTCCGCCCTGTCAATTTTTCACCCTCCATATTAGTGAAGGTTAAATGAGAGTGGCCTTTAGTTTCACTCTTCTGGGAGATTTTTGAGGGCTTTTAATGCCTCTTGTTCACTCTCTCTCTCTTCTGTCATTCTGGGTATCACAGGAAATCTGATATGAATGGAAAAAAAATAGGCCAATGTACTAAAATGACCCTAAAGAGTGATACAGTTCCAGTGTTTTGGTGCTTTTCTTGATATTTTATTTGCCTTGTACAGTTTGTAAGAGTTGACACAAAGTGGTTAACGGCTGCAATGTTGCCTTTTAGAAATTGCTTTATCGTCTTGTTTAGATTGGTAAGTCCGGTAATAAAATACAATGGAGGTTTACGTAAAAGTTTATGCAAATTACAACACATTAACAAACATGAAAGAGTTATTTACAGTTCCAGTTACTGTCACTTGTCTTCTCCCATGGTCTTTTTTTCTTCTCTGTTCTTTCCAAGCCTTTTTTTCCCCTACCTGCCCACCAGATGTCTTCCCACAATCAAGTGTTCTCCTGCTCACTCCAGCAGCTGTGTCTAATTATTCATTAGCATCTGGGTTTCCCTTTGTGGGTTCTTAACCAGCTGAAACTCTGAGAAGTGGATCTACGTCTCAAGACTTCTCGTAGCAATGTTGATGTTTCATGAAGTCACTCATACTTTTGCACATTTTTTAGACTTCTCCAGACAAAAGAGACATCACATGCCAGTCTAATCAAAATCACCCAGTTGCAATAAGTTAAATTTTTTGGGCTAACACACCTAGGCAGTGTGGTTGCTTGTTGTCGCCTCAATCCAACTCAAACAGGCCCTAAGCATCCCATGCATGCTTTGCAGTTTGCACACCAGGCTTTGACCTTGAAGTCAAACAGCATAAATACACCGAGGGAAGCTGAGTGGTAAAGAAAACCTCCTGTCCAGCTCTGTAAAGCTGTATGTGTTTGCATTGTTGACATAAGCCCCTTGCTAGCCTGTTTGCTAGCCGGTAAGGCAGTCCGATGGTAACGAACGAAAAGGGCCCATGTCTCCACCTTGAACTGTGGAGGCCATCATGATTGTCAGTAAAGCAGATTTCGCTGTACCCGGCACAAGTTCAGTTATCACCTGATGAAGCTATAACTGTAGCTCGACTTCACTGTGAGTTTTCTTTCTGTTATATTTGTCCTTATAAACTATAGCTGTCTGTCTCAGAGGACATGGCCAACATTTGTTTGGCAAAGCCACTGACTTCATAAAGAGATGCACGACATAACAGCTTCTCAAAAGGGAGGCCAAAACATTCTGCTCCTCAAGTCCACCTCATCAAGCTCACCTCCTCCATTATAACACACAGAGCATGGGTCAAACTATGATACAAACGCCAAATATTAATTTGAGGTATTACAAACAACACACGAGTGACTGGACTTTTCAATAGTGACTACTTCAACCCAACACAAATTTTGTCCATCGTGTGTTGATTCATCCATCTTTGTATGTAATGGGTGAATGCTGCCATATTGTATAGCTGTTAGCTATTCCAGTGACAAGTCAGCGTCTTCAAAAGCCTGTCAACTGAAGCAGCATCCGTCACATGACAGCTGATGAGGGCACCCTAATTAGATGATTGAATGATTCTTAAGGGTTAACATATTTGATAATTCTACTTGGTTGTAAATCAATAGACAGCTGCCTTTAATCTTCAAAGACTAGCTGCATTGGCAGAAATGCATGTACAGATATTAACAAAGCCCCTTATTTATTTACATGTTCATTCGTTTATTTTTGTCCCTTTTTTTCTGATAAAACTCATCCAACAAATACGTGCAGCTCTTTCCGATGGTAGCTAGCTATAAGAGAGACTTAATACACAAGATCATTTCTTTGGTCACTTGATGATAATCAGCAAAAGACCATCCATACGAGTATCAGAGAGAGGGAGATAATAACTGATGATTCCTGATCATTTACTGATCATACAGAGAAACTTTAAGAGACAAACTGGCCTGTCTCTTAAAGGACAGGTCTTAAAGGTCTCTTAAAGTCATTGTCGTCAAAGGTAAAGTGACATATCAAGTAATAATAATATTAATAGTAATGCAATTATTTATAGGTGGCTTTCAAAGCGCTCAAGGTCGCCTTTCTAGGGAAGGTGAAAACAAGACAAACAAATAAAAAAGTCCACAAAATAAGTTAAAACGGTGATTGAAACAATGAAAGTCGACTGAAAAAAGTGAACAACAGTCAAACTGAATATGCTGGGGGAGGGAGTTTTAAAGTCAAGGAGCAGAACGACTGAAGACTCCGGAGCCTATGGTGGCCAAACTGGCGGGTAGGACAGCGAGGTGGAGAGAGGAAAGAGGATCTGAGAGTGTGAGAGGGGGTGCTGATGTAAAGGCAGTTGGAAAGTACGCAGCGACAAGGTTATGAATGGCTTTGAAGGTCAGGAGCAGAATCTTGGTAAAGGTGAACATAGAGAATTAATGTCTTCTTGCTTTAAAATGTTGTTGTGGAGACAGCACTGTAGCACTTAGGCTTTGTTCATTTTTGGTAGTTTGTCAGATTTATCTTAAACAGTCAAAAGGCTAAATTAATCAGCAAAAATATCCAACTAAACTCCCACAGATGTTGTAATTATCCGATTATACCGCTGTCCAAACTGGTAGCACAAACACTTCAATCAAAGCCAATTGTTAGCACAACGTTGAGAGTTGGGAGTTAACACCATTAAAGCTAGTGGCGTACTGCTTATTCACAAAAGTGTTGTTCCCTCTCTTTCAAGCAGCAGGCTATTTTCACAGCAGGGATTTGAGCTTGTTGTTCCAGGAAAAGCCCAGGTGTTACAAAAAAAACAACATGGCAATACCGTCTGACTCGGCGAGCGTGCACAAGAAGTTATGACTGACTCTTTAACACTTCAGGTATAAATCACATGTGAAATGAGAGGGAATGTTAATCAAAGCGTACTCTAAAAAAATAGGGTTTTTTTTGTTGGTTTTTTTCCCATGTTTTTTTTTTTTTTTGATTCATTTTCCATTACAGTCTAGTTGGTTCAGTGTGTCCTGATCTCGGTGGTGTATTCAGGGATTTTTTTCCTTTTTCCCCCCCAAGAGCTCAAAAATCCACCAGCGGGAAAAGAACCAAAGCGGATAAACCCCTGAATGAAGCCATCAATGGGTGGCCTTTTATTGAGCTCCTGATCTTAGTGGCTTCCTGTGGGGGAAACTCGCAAGCATGCTGCTGCTGCTGCCTTCAGTGGTGATGGTGTGTCATTTAGCAAGAGCTGGTGCATCTTTCAAGACATGGAGGAATAAGAGGCTGACCGCCATCCTGGCATTAGCCATTTACCTCCACCAGTTCCTTTCCCTGCTTGTTCCCTTACCCAAAAAAAAGAGACATGGTGAAATACCAGTAAGGCTTTGACGCGGAGAGACATGGATGTGGTAGAGGGGGGGAAAGTGGACCTGACCACTCACAACCCGAGTGGGTGGGACCTGACCACCCAAATGGATTGGGCCCTCCAATTAACTGGTGTCATAATTTATTTCAAATATATTGATAACATCAACTGAGAGAATGAACTTGATGTCACGGTCCTCCAAACGTATTGGATATTCTGGGGGCCCCCTCTTGGAGGCGCAAGACGGTTTAGTCTACCCGACAGAGACCGGCAACAAGTGTAACGTCAGAGAGCCCAGATTGGATGACCTGGGGGTTAGACATCATCATGGTATCAAAAAAGAAAATGAAGGAAGGCAGAATGAGGGGAGGCAGCTGTTGACTGCTTTCTTTCACAAAGATGAACCCAGTTTGCTTGTTCTGCAAAGTCCAATGAAAGTTAATGTAGTCCACTCCAGACAGCTGCTGCTTATGTCTGTATGCTCACGTGAAGTCTTTAGCTTAGCTAGTTGCCAACCAGGCTGCTGAAAGTATAAAGACAATCCTGGGCCACCTATCATTAGTTGTCATAGGGGCCCACTGGCATTGAGAGTGTACAGGGCCCAGAATTTGGTGCTATAACCTTGGGTAGAGATAAAGTTGAGATAAGATGATACAAAGCTGCAAAGTTCTTTTCTAGCAGATTTGAGAGAGTAATATGTAGTCCATTATCCAGTCAATCTCATGATTTCATTTTATCAATTTATTGCATTTTATATATAAAACTCTCAAAGAAAGTCATAGTATTCTTTCATTAGAGAAAAAACTGTATCCAAGGTTGTTACGAGTAGAAATGATCCGGACACAAATGAAGGTATTTAAAACCACACTGGAATTTCATTTATTCTTCGTCTATGAAAGTGTGCCCTAAACACTAAGGAGAGTGTTGTTGAAATAATTCAGGTTACATTTTATTTTAGCCTTTGTGCCCTTCTACAAATAGTGTAGAGCAGCACATTCCATCACATTCCCCTGTTCAACTATTTGCACAGAGCAATTCAGGCAGCTGAACAATGCAAACAGGGGGGTGGAAATACAAAACCGCCTTTGGATGTTTGCCACTGTTGCCATTTTTCACAGTGGGTAATCACAAACCACTTCATGAAATATCATCATAAAAACATCAAAAAGTTTAGAAGGAGGTATAATGCCAAGATCTCAACCAACTTGATGCAGATACAGCCGTCACAGAGAGCAGCCAGACCTTCAGAATAGACTGAACAGTTGGGCAGTTATGGCAACCTAATGAATCGTTTTGGATTTGCCACCCTGAACAGTTTTCTTTTTTCAGAGAGAAATAGATTCTTCTTTAGCGCAATAAAAGATTGTAGAGCTATCCACTAACTAGATTCTTGACCAAAATATGTGACTTACTTCAAATATAAGTAGCCGTCGTCGTTGTCGTTGTCATTTTCTTCCGCTTCATCCAAATATAAGGGAATATAAGTAGCTTCTTCTACAATTGAGAGTCACAGTTTCGGGGGCATCCAAGAGGCTGACAACACAATGCAAACACTTCAGGGGGACCACTTGGAGGCCAAACACAGGGGCTCAGGTCTGAAAGACTACCCCCTAACACAGGAGCTGGCATCATCCAGGCCACTGATGTTGGACCAGCAGTTGACAATGGCCGGGGTGCCGATGTTGAACCAGGAGTTGGTGCCAGCCTGAGCGCTGATGGAGAACCAGGAGCTGAAACTGGTGAAAGTGTGGAAGCCAACTGAGGACACGGCACAGGAACTGGTACTGGGGTGGCTGGCTGGGGAGCTGGCACTGGAGGCTGGAAGGCCAGCTGGCAATGGGGGCACGAAGGGGTCGCCAGGGCCTCTAATGAAGACACAGTAGTGGACAGCAAACAGGTCTCTGCACAGACAGGTAGCAGTGACTCCTGACTGTAATGAAGCTTGACTTCTGAGGGGCTTGGCAGATGAGGCAGGAGATGGAGCTGGGAGACCTGTTTGTCACGACTCTCTCTGTGGTCACATCTGGTTCTTGGGAAGTCGCCAAGTATACTCCCTGAAGACATGAAGATTGCTCAATCTTTTAAAAAATATATTTATTTCCATTGAAGCTTCTTTGAAAAAATGCAGAAAACACTTTATGTTGGGAAAAAGAAAAATCTAAATTGTCCAAATCAAAACTTTACACTGGGGTCTGCGGTGTTTTGGTTTGGTCCAAAGGGAAGGAAAAGGGACAAAATGCATGATCAGAAATTCAAGATTTAAATCAACAGAAGTTGAACTAAATAAAATGAAAATGTATTATGACACAACTTTGGTAATCAAACCCAAACTTCCATTCATGGTACATCTCACTCACCATGGATGGATAAACTCCACAAGCTAACCAGAGGTATACAAACGATATTTTATCCAAGTTATAATTTGTCTTTATCTTTACATATTCCAATAAATATTATATATAATTTTGTCATCAAGATATTATTGTGTCTGATTTCTACACAGCTACATTCCCTGTGCTCACCTTGTTGTTTACATTTGTTAAAGACAGTTTTATTTAAAGAAATAAAAGTCTAAATGAGAGTTGTATATACATTTGTAGCATGCGGTTTCTTTTAGTTTCCAAACCACTGGGGTAAACAAAAGGTGATCTGACATTGTGAGGACCTTTGGACCAAAACCAAAACGGCAGGCACTTGATACTAAATTGAAACAGCTCTTGACATTCAGTACCTGGGATGGAGCAGCCTTAAATGAACCCTACTTGATTTAAGTAAATTAAAACTGAAAGCACTCAGGTACATTGCAAGAATTTTTGCAAACACTTATAAACAAGATGAGGTCATAGTGGGGAACAACAACAGCGACTAACCCAGCTAACCATGGTAACCTTCATCCTTTAGAATAAAAACACAGATTTGGGTCTGGTTAGGTTTATTAGACTTGGTCCCCTCAAGGACTTCATCCCTTTCTGTATCCTTAAGGTGAGTCAGAGCAGATTCTTTCTTTGTCATTATAAAGGGACAACATGAAGAGCTTCATATTTTCTAAGATGAAGACATGAATTCCTTTTTGACAGATTTTATACACAAAAAGACATGATATAAAACATAAAGAGAAACAGACGAATCATAAAGGTACTCTCACATAGTGCGCAGACAGTCTGCAGCTCATTATGAACACAAAGGAGAAAGATAGCAGAAATTTGTGAACCAAAATTGCTGCTTATAAACTTCTGTGAAAAGTATAAAAAAGCATAATTTTAGTAAGATCATTTCCAAGTCAAAAATAAAATGTTTATGCAAGCCATTGATAATCCAAAACAAAATGCAAGCCAGACAGAAGACACCGTCTCCTAACGGCAAAATCCTTTGCTCTACTCCTCCACACATTGTTGTGTTTATACACTCTAAAAACACTTGGGTTATTTCTTCAACCCAATTCCTGGGTTTTATGTATTGAGTTAAATTTCTGGGTTATTTTTTAGATCCATCCCCATTTCTTGGGTCATAAGGATTCTATAGTAACCCAATTTGAGTGTTATTTGAATGAGTTAATAATTATGGCTTATTTCCCTGAGAGTAACCGAATAATTGGGTCAGATTGTTGGGTTTGATTGACTTTGCACGGTTTCTAGGCCTAATGGAAATTAAAGTGACCTGGTGACCTTGTGAACTTTGACCTGCAAAGCATTGAAAGTGATGCCGGCTCAGTCAGTACAGGTTGTAAAAGCAAAGCTCCCCAAAAAATTCCCTAAATGCATATATCAATTTAGCCCAAGATCATGAGTCAAATTTACTCAAAGATCGGGTTAACGTGACCCTTAAAAAGAGTTATTGAGTCAACCTAAAATTTGGGTTAATTTGAATAACCCAACATTCTGGGTCAAAATAACCCAATAAGAAGTCGGTCCCTAGAGTGTAAGTTTGCCAGATCTGACAAGTGAAATGGATAGTTCATCTTGTGCCGTCTCCTGTCTTTTGACCACTCAAAGCACTTTTAGGTTACATTAAACCATTTACACCACATTAATACACTTATGGCAGAGGCAGATATATGAAGTGCCCATCAGTTTTAAGGAACCAAACCACTCCAGGTTATCGTTCCATCAGAGAAAGTATCTTTCCACAGGACAGCTGTGTGCATGTAGACCCCAGGAAATAAAGAGACGACCAACTCTGCCTCGGAGCCGTAGCTGCCAGAGTTCAATATTCTGGTTTAATTTTTATTTTAATTTCTAACCAAATCTTAATAAACATGAAAGGTTATCCAATCAGCCACTGATAAAGCTAACATCGGACATTTTTATTAGCCTAACTTCATAACTCGCCTGCTGATATTTTTATCAAAAAGTGCTATGGTGCTGACCCGTCTTTGCTAATAAATATCAAATTAAAACTGTAAAGAGGGGGTTCAGATATCTCCTCTCAGTTGTGTTTCACTTCTGAGGAAAATACAGGTCATAAGTAAAATGAGGCAAACAACCATAACTTCAGTCTTTATCTTCTTCCATGTGCTAAAGTTGATATACTGTACTTTGTTTTGCTGCTTTTCAAAGGAAAGTCACTGTTTTGTTGTGTTTTCGCAATATGTGATTTCTTTCTTTTCTCATTTGTAAATCAGTCATGGGCTTAAACTTTCTGAAATAAGCTGGCTAATAACACTGGATCAATCAGATCAAGGCTTTATATTGCAAATTAGAATATTCAACAAATTAAATAACATTAAATAAATTCATTCAAATAAATCCAGATTTGGTGGTCACAATCAGGACTAAAGGAAGCATCTGAACCATAGTCAGACATGGAGGTTGCAGCAGCACTAAAATCCACTACTTCTGTGAGGGTGAAAAGGGAAGCAGCAGGATCTGCATGTCCACCAATGAGAGTCCTGTATTCAAAAGTGCAGAATGAAATGGAGAGGATTTCAGAGGGGAGGCAGAAGTGCATTTGGAGAAAGTACTGGGGCTTGACGGACACAAAAAGAGATCCTAGATGTTCATCTCCCAACCAAGAAAGCTACTGTAGGTCCTGAGGGTCACCATGGCTGGTCATTTGTCTACAGGACTACAGTGCATTGCCAAAGCAGGTGTGTACGCCATTCTTTTCCCTGTGAGACACTACAAGAGGGAGCATGCCCCACTTCCTCACTGCCTAGAATCAATATCAAGTACATGTTTGCAGATTACTTGGAGAAGAGCAACAACTGCTCAAACAAAAACGTTCACAAAGTTGTTTACAGAGAAAAAAAACATAATTTTTGCAATGCTGGAAAAGTGTGTGGGTAGTCTGCTGCAGGATCAGCATGTGAAAGGTGACCCCAATGAAGATGGTGATGTCGTGGAGTGTCTGCAGTGCCTGAGGTGGCTCATGAGGTCTGCTGTGGAGAGCAGGATGTACCGTATGAAGGGAAAGAGTGGCCAGAGGGAACATCTGTAAAAAGTGTTGACCTTTGGACGGTTCATGACTCCTCACATACAGGGTGTGGGGACGATAACATTCACAAAGTGTAGTATGGTATTTCACAAGACCTTTTCCTCAGTAAGCAAAAATAGAAATAAGGCATAAATGACGGCATGGCACAGGAAGTGCCGGAGGAGCTTCCCTTTGCATATTTGATGGCACTGAAAACAATGATTTTAAAATCCTTTCCGACATGTCCAACTGAATACACGACAAAGACAAAACATTGAATGTTCAAACTGAGAAACTTTTTCTTACAAATACTTACTCATGTTGAATTTGATGTTGGAACATGTTCCAAAAAAGCTGGTTCAGGGTCAACAAAAGACTGAGAAAACTGAGGACTGATCCACAAACACCTGTTTGGATCATTCCCAACAGGTCCATTTGAAACAAGTGGGGGTTATAACTGGGTATAAAAGGAGCTTCCCCGAAAGGCTCAGTCCTTCACAAGCAAGGATGGGGCCAGGTTCAACGCTATGTCAACAACTCTGTGAGCAAACAGTCGAAGAGTTTAAGAATAATGATTCTCAAAGTGCAACTGCTTAAAGAAACAGCAGCTAAAATGAAGCGTTTCAGACGTAGGCTAGAAAAACAATGATACTTTAATACAACAGAAGACACATTAATCATTTCATGTAAAGACGTGCTGAGGAGGGGACTTGATTTCAGGTGATAAAAAAGTCCAACAGCGCTTCAAAACCAACACTCACTGAAAAGCTGCCTGATTTGAAAAGTTTGTTTTTTTAATGATGATAAATGTAAAGTGTTTTTGTTGACAGATTGTAACTATTTACTTTTTACACGAGAAATAACATTGGAAAATAACAATAATTCTATTATCCTAATGATATCAAAGTATGTGATTAGTTAGTCGTTAAATGACGAATCAGAAAACAAATCAGATGAAAAACTCTATAGTGATACTCTGTTTAATGCTTTTTAAAAAAATCACCAACCCCATACCAAATAATTAAACACTAAGTTAGCTTTCTGAACATGTTACAGAATTCCAGTGAAATCTAATGTGCAACCAGCGAACAATTTTTGATGTATTTTTCGTTCTTTAAACTTCCTGGCTTTTTGCTGCTCCTGTTGATCTCTTATCCTCTCTCTTCTTAGCAGCAGTAAGAGCTTCGGGTCAATCTTTGGCGTTGACAAGGGCTATGGTATGGTCTAGATTATTCCAGCTCACACGTAAGGATGGCCACAAGGATGGAAACTATCACTGAAATGGGGCTATCATGACATCATGAAAGCCCCATTTAGGATAAATTCATTATCCTTGAGTGCCAGTAGACACAGTCTTTTAAAAAGAGATATAGCCTTGCACAGTTATCATGGTGAAAGTCCAGTAACTCGCTTTACAACTGAGACGTCATATGCAATGAGAACAAATGAATACATGCCTACCAATGTTATGATACTCACTATTCAGCGGCACAAATACCTGCACATCACTTGATACCTCTTCAGGTGATTTACAGATACATTTCACTCTCAGAGGCAGATATCTGCTGCCCGAAGCCTCATCTTTACACCCCCTATCTCACACTTTTATGTGATATGTCCTCCCTGAGTTTTGCCTCTCTAAGACAGGTTTT